TTCCTGAGTTCAAATCTGGCCTCAGACATTTACTAGCTGTGTGACCCTGGGCAACTCACTTAACCCTGTTTGCCCCAGTTTCCTCATCTGTAAGTGGGATGGAGAAGAAAAGGGCAAACCACTCCAGACAGACTGAAACAACCAAACAACCACAAATTGTAACTAAATAGAAGTATTGAGTTATAAACTCCTTTTCTGTAGGCTTACCCAAAGCATCTTCAGGACAAGTTCAGATGAAGACTGGATTATAGACATGATGTGTGCTTCATCCTTTTCCCTGCATGATTTTAATGTCTTTGGCTAGGTCTCTGCATTTTGGTTCCACATAGCTTGGAGACTATGCATTTTTGGTATGGGGATGTCTATTAAAGATATTCTTAAATTTTTATGAGTCAATATCCTATTTGGGCATTTTTGGGCAAAAGTATTTTTGTTATCAGTCATAATCATCATCATTATCTGTAGAGAAATTAGGAGGTCTTGGGGAAAGGACTCGGCTTCCGAGGTTGTCCTGGCCTAGAGGAGATGGAGGTTGGAGGCTAGCGTTCTCAGTGACAAGGTGGAAGAAACAGGGATGGGAGGATGTAAAGCAGCCTAGTTCTGGCTTGGCCTCATTCAGTCTGCGGGAGGTGACTACTGTCAGGCCTGGTCCTATTTCTTAGAGGCCATGCAAAGATAAAAGATCATCTGTCCCATTTCTTCTATAACCCCCCCTTTTTTTCTGTTTCTGTGTCTCTTTTAGAACCTCAGTGAGGCTCTCTGTATTTCCTTTTTGTCCTTGTGTCTCTGTCTCTGGGTCTTTCTGGAGTTTGGTCTATGTGGCCTCTCTGAGACTCTTTTTTCTTAGTATGTGTCTGTGTTTGTCTCTATGTTTCTGTGAGGCCATAAGCTCCTTGAGGGCAGAGATTGTCATATCCGTATATCTATTTGTATCCATTTCTTTGTCTCTGTTTTTCTGTCTCTTGGTGGTTCTCCATCTATATCGATTCTTGTATCAGCGAGGGGTGGGGGGTGGGAAGGAAGGGAATAAGAATTTTTATAGTGCCTACTATGTGCCAGGCACTGTGCTAAGCCTTCTACAAATATTATCTTATTTGATAAATGTAATTATATCTATATTGGTTTATTATTCTGTGGCTGTGTTTATCTTTTGGTAGGTCTGTGTCTGTGTGCATGTCTCTATGTCTATACCTGTCTCTGTGACTTTCTCTAGTTCTGTATGTATGTGTGTGTGTGTGTATCTATCTATATATCTACCTATCTATCTATATATATATATATGTATCTATATCTTTGGCTCTTTGTCAGTGTCTGTATGTCTGTCTATGCTTGTCTGTGTTTGTTTTTGTCTATATTTGTTTTTGTATCTGTGTTTCTGTCTATCTGCTTGTCTCTCTCTGTGTCTATGTACATCCCCGTGACTGTGTTAATGTTTGTAACTCTACATCAGCATCTGCCCGTGTCTTTCCCTGTATGTGTCTATCTTTGGGTTTGTCTCTTCATCGCTTTCTGTCTGTGATCTTATCTTTGACTGTTTCTCTGTTTTTCTCTGCGTCGGTGTCTATATGTTTCTCCATCTGACTGTGTGTCTATGTATCTTTTTCTATCACTATCTTTGTGGCTGGCTCTGTCTCTATGTCTGTTTCTTTGCCTATGTCTATGTATATGTCTCCATCTGGCTGTCCTTTTGTCTATGTCTGGATTTCTGGGGTTGTCTGTCTTTCTCTGTGTCTCTCTGTCTGTGTCCATCTCTATCTCTGTGTGACTGTGTCTGTGTCTGCCTGACCCTGTCTATTGGTCTCTTGGTCTTTGTGTTTGTTCCTGTCTGTCTATGTCTATGTCTATGTCTGTGTCCCCCTCTGGCTTTGTCTGTGGGTCTCTCTATCTCTATTTCTGTCTGTCAGTGTGTCTGTGTATAGACTGGTGTCTGGTTCTGTTTGTAACTATCTCTGTGGCCGTCTCTGGCTGTCTTCTTTGTATATGTGTCTATCTGTGTTTTGTCTGTGTGTCTGTGTCTGTGTCTTTATCTGGTTCTGTCTGGGTGATAA